TGTTTGTTTTTAATTGTAAATTATGATCACTATAATTAGCTCATTTAGTACATTTATAATGTAAACAAATATGAATATACAGAAGTTCAGTGATATATTTCAGGGCAAATAAGAGCAACACTGTAACCCTGGGCTCTATTTATTAAGCCTTTCTTGTAGTGTTTGGCACTGCTTCATTCTTTCATTCTTTTTTTCTTTTTTTTTCTCTCTTTTTTTTCTGGAAGATAAAAGCAAGCCGAATATAATATTTGCAGGTCTCTGCTGAGATCTTAATGCATCTGAAACTACACTAAAGAAAATACAGATAGAAATCTGTCCGTTTTGGACTCCATTTAACCATCGTTCTGAAGCTTTCATACAGGTAGAATGCTTAGCATGTTAAAAAACAAATATGACATGTCTTCATAAACACCAGGCTGCTAATGCTGAGCAATTAGGTCAACTGAAAGTGATATTATATTTCAGGTAGACTTAATTATTTCTATAGTCAGCTGCCTGCAAAAATAAGTGTGTCTGCTATGGGCTGCCGTGTTTCTTTGTGATGCACCCTGCACAGCCTCCTGGGACTGAAATCTGTTCTGTTCTTGATACACCCGCTGCCCTACACATCTCTCAGCAACACGAACAGGAGCTGCCCAACATGCTAATGGAAACACTTAATAAGTAACAGGATGTTTTTCTCCCATCAAGTTCAAAGATTAAAATTTGGGGTTTAGTCTCACCATTATTTTTATTAGAAAGACATCTTTTGTTACAGTTCCAGAGCTCAGTTATCATGCTGCGACACACTGCATCCCGTTCTGATAAGTCATGGAAAGTTATGATTAGTTAAGCTCCTTATGAATAGAGAAGGCTTCCCTGAAGGTTGAAAGTGGCCTCCAACTTGAGATTTTAAATCGTTGTTGAAGTGCTTTGAGTAGTCTGCCTTTGTGTACACTACACATTTTAAGGTTACTTTTTAATCCAATGACGTCTGTTTTATGATGTACACTTGCTGCAGAAAGAATGCTGTTCAGTTCATCACTGCCAGCTGTCTCTCTACAAACTAAATTATTTTATCTCAGAGGAATGAATTGTCCATAACAAGAATCTAATAACTTTTCTGCTGAATACTCAAGATTTTTTAAGAAAAGCTCTTCTTCTGTCACACTACCCCTGTAATGTGCTGTGCGGGCTGGTTGTCCTGTTCTAGCCCTCTGAGCCTTCAGGAGTTAAAAGTTTTATAGCATGAAAAAGATGTAGAAGAGGTACATATTGCAGCACTGTATGCACCGTATTCTGTGGATATTTTTTTGCAGAAGGAAGAAAGCCCTGGTTATTACAGCTGTCACCGTGACATCTGATATCTGACTACCAGTGATTGCCTCACCCACCACATGACCCTGATCACTCCCGTGATTCTCTGTCCACTATTAAACTGTGAAAGGTCTTGGCCCTCCAGGTGCTGTTTCAAGCCTGAAATAGGAACTTGTCCGTCATACTCTCTGACTAACCTAAAGCTTAAGGACCCAGCAAAAACGTTTAAGGCAGAACAGGATCTTATACAGCAACAAAGAACATCCCTTATGCTCATTTTAATGACTGCTGCAGAGCAAGGGCACTAAATTTGCATCAGTGAATAGAAACAGGCAAACTTTGGAATGTCTTTGTGGCTTAATTTTCAACAACTGCATTTTTTGCATTTCGTTTTGACTTCTGGAAAATATGTCTTGAAAATCCTGAGAAGTATCTTGAGCTTTCACATGGAACTAGAAGCACATAATATCAAATGTTCACATGGAAGCACATAATATCAAAATAATTTTCATGAATCCGAAATGAAAAATTCCCAAGTATTATCATACAGAATTTCATATCTAAAGCAGATCTTTAATAAAATACAATTTTTCTTTCCACAGCAGAAAAAAAGAAAGATGGAAACCTAGTTTAAAAACCTAAACCTATAAACCAAACTCCAAAACTGTGTAGCTGAAATAAACTTTCCATGATGCACTCACTTCTTTCCTTCCTTAGTAAGGACCAGTCAACACACAAGGCTTGAACAGCAGATTTTTCCATGCAAATAGATGAGGCATATCAGACCTCATTGGGAGCCCAACATGTCCCCAACATTGGGGAATAAGGTGTTGGAAAGATTCTGTTCTTAAGACAACAAATAAGATAACAGATCTGGCCTAAGATAATAGATCTAGCCTGACTGCTCTTTTGTACATTATATAAGCTTTGGCACAGTGCTGTGGGGCCAATAGATGTTTCCAACCTTGAACGCTTGTCTTCTTTAGCCTTATACTGTTACTAAATTCACACAAACTGATACGTGAGGATTGAAGCCAAGAATTTAGATATATTTAGTATATAGAAATTTGCTGCAACTGGATTGTACCAGAAATTAGGTAGATATAATGCCAGAGCAATAAAGAGGCTGGATAACTAACTTCTGTGATTTTTGGACTGTGTTTAAGTTCATAAATATAGTTTTACAAAAATAATTTCTTCTCTTAAATGAACATGCTTGCAAGGATCTGACCTGCAATTCCACATCTAACGTGGAAGGAACAATATTTGTGTGCAGAGTGTTTCTGATCACCTTTGCGAAGATAGTGCTGAGCTTCCTACAGTGACCTCCATCAACAAACACAGCTATAGATGGTATACTGGGAAATGTTTTTCTTTGAAATACAGCTATCCAAGCTTTCATATCTTTAGTGGTATATTCTGGATTGCTGTTACAAAAACCATTTCTTAAAACACAAAAGATCTTTTTCTCAGGAATGTATCCCCATTTGTAATGATATGTGTATTTAATATGTGTATATGCATACTTATGTGAGTGAATATATATACGCATATTAAAGATGTATGTCTTTGGATCTCATGTTAAGGTGAGGAAAGACCGTTCTTCAAAAACAAAACCTTACAGAATTTTAGTTGACAACATCAGCTGTAGCTAACATTATGAAGTCGTATCTGCAAAATTCAAAGGTTATAAATGCAGTTCTGCATTTATTCTGCAAATAATTCAGGAATTTTCAACAGAATACTTTTAGAAGAGTCCTATCATGAGTGAAGATTGAAAACAAGGTAGATGAGGATTCTAGAGCTAATATGAAGAGGTGAAGAGAGAAGGGAGTGTATATTTTCCTAAGATAAAATCTTGGGAAGAAAATGTAAAAAGTGGGAAAATTGTGTCCACTCTGAGTGCACATTTAATATTAACTTGTAAAAGATAGGGCTTTACAAATTATTCAAGAAGTCTGTTAAATGAAAACTACAACTCTGTTGAATAATGGAGACATACCCAGCTGGACTGTAAAAAAATCCTTTTTGTCCTCTTGTGGAATATCAGTAATGGCTGAACTATTCTCCATGCACCTATGATCCATTTGGTGTCCAGATCTGCACTGGACACTCTAAATGCAATATTTATTTTAGTGTGAACAGAAATGTCATATTAGTAGAACTTTTTGGGTCTACTGGTGGGATTGTATGATTCTCCCAAATCTTAAAAAACAAAGGAAAAAACAAAAACAAAATTTGTTTCTAAAATTTGTTATTTGTTGCTCTGTGCACAAATACTGGATTTGATCCTGCCATTGGCAGCCTGGGGATGAACGACTTTGAGTATTGTGCTCTCCAGAATACAACTCTGTGCTTACTCAGTTTCTCTTAACAGTGCACTGTTGCAAAGCCTTGATCTTCACTGTGTTCATTCAGTTCTCCACAGTGATTCTGGGTAGGATCTTTACATGATACTGTAATTACCATTATTTGTAATAATGACTTATTAATAATAATTACTAATAATCTTGATAATCCCCTAAAGGAAAATGCTGTGAGTGCAAAACCACAGATGGTGTCATTATAACAAAGATGAACTAGTTCCTTTTGCCCATCTTGTAAAAAAATAATTAATTCTCAGCTTTTCTCAAGACTGGTGAAGAGATTTCTCTGGAGACTTCTCTCATACTGGCTATCTCTGCCTACCTGAAAGACCCACAGAAATTAGTGTGGATTAGCAAACATGTCTATCCTCTGATTCCTGTGAATATCTCAAGCTGCAAATACAACTTACTTTGATCCAGTTCTATGTTCATCTTAATTTTCCTGGGCTTTTGTACTTTCACAAGTTTGGAGAGAGAGCCGTACACAAAAATGACTGTATTCATTTGTTGATAGACACCTTGTTACCATAAATTTTTCAGAAAACCTCTTTCTCACAGAATATGTTGCCAAAAATGTATTGGTTTTAATTCACTTTAAAAGAATTTGCACAAATCTCTAAGTTTATGTATGGCTTTAAAAAAGAATAATGAAAATGAACAACATTGCATCATCTTGAGATCTAATTACAAAATCCTTATTCACTTACGCAAGTGCATCTCTGTCCAGAGCTTTGTGCCATACACAAAATGTGCCTGGAGCTGTTGGCACTATGGAGGGTGGAGAAAGAAGCATTTCTCATTGGCTCCATGCAGATGAAGAAACATAATCCCAAATGGTACGCTCAGATTTTTTCAATAAATGTTTTTCGTCACTACAGAGCTTTATATAACAGCAGTAAAGGCAAGAAAGGAAATTAGAAACACAGCTGAGACTGCGTCTCATACTTCATAATGGCCCCAAATTCTTACTGTTTATTAAAACTAACACCCCTTTTCTGGGTGTCGATAAAAAAATCTCTGCAGTCTCTCTTTGATCTTTTCACAAACCACAGATATTTCTTGTCATTTTTTTGTTGAGTTTTATATCCACAATGTTGAAACTCAAAACTACCATCCAGTAGTGTTGTAGGATAAGAAGTAATCCTGAATTCAATGAGCCAGAAAAGTAATCACTAGACAGATTTGTCCACTCCAAGGAAGGGAGAACCCTGGTGTAATACAGAGATGGCACCAGAAGGGAACCTTTCAATAATCTGTCATGCCTCTGGGCCTGATACTTCTGCTGTCCACTCAGAGTACTGGCATAATCTATTTCAATATACACGTTTACCTTTTGTTTCAGCAGCTCCCTGGCTCCTCCACATGCAAACATTTGAATTTCCTGTTGGCTCAGAGGTGAGATTTATAACATTTATTAAAGTTGCTTTTCACTGTGAGTTTACTGGGCAGAAAGCCTAAGAGAGACTTTTTTTTAAGGGGTTTAATTGCTTGAATTTACCAGAGGGGTGAACATTATGCTTTATTTGCAGCAGAGCTATCCACTAAGATTACCAGGTGTTGAATTTCCCTAGAGGATCCCTATTTATTGAAAGAATTCATGAAAACCCACCTATCCAGAGCTGGGGCTCCTAGCAGCCCTTTCCCATTCATCCACTTGATTTTGTTTTCTTCACAGCTGCTTTTGAATCTCTTGATTGATCCTGTTCATTTCTGTCCATCCCTCTCCACAAGTATCTTCCCTCATCTTTGCTTGTCCACCTCAGCTGTTAAAAATGGGCCAGACATCTCAGAGTTGAGCACACCTGTGAGCTTTGATGTGGGTGCTGGTGCAGGAAAAACTGTTCAATATCAGGAGTATACAAGTATTGTTTAGCAGGGTGGAATCAAAGATGGACAGAGGGCAGGAAAGACAGAACAAGTGGTGGTAAGGGTGAAAAGAAAAGAGACACATTGCAATGTTTAAAATAAAAACCTTTAAATAGACCTTTAAAACCTATGAATGGACTTCTCAACAGATGGCAGACCTACTGTCAAGCGAGCCCAAGGCAGGCAGACTATAATTGTTAGCAAGTGTATTGTTAAGGGAATTTACTAATTTATTGATGCAGCAGCCACTGCATTTGAAGAATAAATTGGAATATTTTGGTGCATTTTCTTTAAAAAGACAACCACTTTCAAGTCTATGTATTAAAATGACAAAGTCTTAAATGGGGGAGTCTCCTTTGCTAAACAAAAGATATGCAAATTACATTTCAAGATTTATATTATGATAAAAACTGGAACACAAAAGAGGCATTATCTTGCAAAAAATGTAAAAGAACATTGCTTCATGAGTCTATAATGATATAATGTGATGTTGATGTAGTTAAAGATGTCAGAAGAGAGACAATGACCTTAAAAGTTTAAGGCAGACACATTAATATTGATTGATTTTTAAGAGATTGAACAGCAAGAATATACCTATATATAGCTTGGATGTTGGATTGTTTGAAAATTTGAGACGAGATACAGAACATTTTGGTCTTGTAACGCTTTAGACCTGAGAGCAAGAACATGCTTTAAATGCAGCCATTTGTACTATAAGAATCTAGATGACAATTTGCCTTCAATTTAGCAGATTGTGAACCTATTTCTTGTAAAAATCAGTGATGTTTGACAAAGCTGGATGATCATTTCTGGCTTAACCACTTATACAGATCTGTTATATGAGATGTCACAAAGGTATTAGTGTCGTTTGTTAGTTCTTTTTTTTTTTTTAACTGTTCTGTGCATTTTTAGATCTACATACAGTCTTATAACTGTTTTGTACACACACACACACACACTCCTGTAATGTATTGTGCGCCTTCTGGCCTTGAACCAAGTAAAGTACTATGCATCTATTCTGTGTCATTTTCAATTCCTACATTTCTCCAAGATGGGATAAAGTGGTCAATAACACCTTTTGTTTAAGTAAAATTAGGATTTATTTTTTATCGATGTTTATGCCAGTAAAGTCCTAAAAAAAAATGTGCCTCACATTAAGGTGAAAAGGTGCTAATTATTGTGCTGTTTTTTATTCCTCTGGAGCTGTTCATTTTGCTGTATCAATTTGATGAAAAGTTTCCCCTCCTTCACGTATGAGATTTTATTTGTAGAGTAGAGACTTCCACTGAACAGAGAAATGGCAATGCAGGTAACAGTTGGTCTTTTAGGGACCAGGCTACAGAATCCTTGGGAATAAGGACTAAAAATATAATTTGTAAGCATCTGCTGGCAGCATAGAATGGGTTTGACCTATGTGAAATGGACGATCTTGCATTATAAAAGCAGGATATTTTCATTCAGAAACAGACTCGTGAAATATACTGCAGATAAGGAAAAGATGAAGATATTTATAGGAAGTTTATATGTATGTATGTATGTATATCTCCCCAACAAGTCATTGTGAAGTGGTAGAAAATCAAGATATGAAGGAAAGAGGACAGCTGAGAGTCTCCAATTCTGTACAGATCTTTTCCATAATAGAGTACAATTTCTTTCAAGAATCAAAGACAAGAAGAATTGCCATGTGGCCACTTTCCCTTCAGATTTAATTTTTTTAATACACAACCAGAAACAAGGAAGGATAGATGCTTGTTAGAAAAATTATTAAACACCAACATATCTTGCTATCATACCTGCATCACTTAAACCTTTACTCAATTTCACCAATGATCAAATCTGCTGTGACCCTCCAGTAAAGGAAAACAGTCCTAACTAGTGAATGAAAGAAAGCACAGTGTCTCCAAAGTGCCTGGCCTGAGTGAACATCCAGAATCCCAGAAAGTAAAGAAATATAAAGGAAGTCAGACTTGATTTAATTCTTTTTTACTATAAATCTCATTTCAGAGAATGATTAACAGCACAAGAGACATAAATGGCAAAGTTTGATCAAGGGAGCTGCTGTCATAGTACCATCTAGATAAATTAGGAAAAGAATGCTTAGGTTTCTATGAAAGAAGACTAATGATGTTAAGTCAAGATGAAATAGAAAGCATTGCAGGCTGAATATCATAAAAGACCAGCCTGCCCAGAAACCCTGAGAAACTTCCTGAACTGAAAAGTAACATGAAATGCTAAGGAATAACTTTCTGTAAGTGCTCAGTCTTGAAGTTACTCAGAAATGAAAATTTTGTGCTCCAGGCAAATAATTTGCTTTTCAGGACCTGTCAAGGCAAATGAAGGAATATTCTAGAAGCATCAGAATACAGCAGGTGTTAGTAGCAGCTCTATACATTATGGGTATTCTGCATCTGATGTGCTCTCTAATTAATGAAGATCAGTCCTTTCCTTTAGATCTGAAACGGGCCCACCTGGAAGCAAATATACCGAGTGCATAATAGGAGAGTGTAAAACCTACAGCTGGTAAATGTTTATGTTATTCATCTAATCCATTTGAAATCCATGCCTCCATAAGAAAGGAGGCATGGAAGTAATGTAGAAGGATAAGTAGTATTAGCTGAAAGTGGGGCGGAGATATGTTTCAGAAGGTAAGAGATATCTTTAACAAAAAGGGTCTTTTTAAAACAAAACAAAACAAAAGCTTTAGTGGTTAAATGTACATTCCCGGAAGTCTAAAGGGTTTAAATGAGAATAAAAATTTCCCTTTATCAGGAAATCTTGAATTATATCTTCATTGTTGGCTTACTGATCTTTCTTAGAAGGCCAAAGGACCAACTCTTCTGTTAAAAGCTTCAGATCTAGATTATAATACAGAATAGCATTTCTGCAGCTAAGCACTTACTGTGGTCAGTACTAAAGCTGTATGAGATTAGCTAATGTTCTTTTCTGTGATGGGCAAAGTGAATTCTGGGATTCAGCATTGTACCTGGCTGCAGTAGTGTGAAGTTATGCTTCAACAGCATCCCATTGTAATAGAGGATTTTGAAGGTCCCTGATGTGTTTCACATCAGCAAGAAATAATTTTTGAAAGTAAAAAATAAAGAGTTTGAGCCAGTGTTTAGAACAAATACATGGGAGTAGCAAATCTTTGAATATTAGCATTACGCCTAGCCCTGTAACAATAACTAAATGAAGCATGTATTTAAAACTTGGTGAGAGGTTTTCCTGTATTTTAGTTCTGTTTGGCTCAGCAGGTGTGCTGCACTTTAGATTTCAGTCTCCAGGGCTGTCAATCCAACAACTTTCACAGGCGCTATGTTCACTTAAAATCTGAAAGAGAAAAATAGAAGGGGATGATGTTAATTGTACTTAGCACTTATGCAGCTTTTTGCTTCCTCAAAGTACAGTGCAAACATGAAGTAAATAACAAGCACTTTGTCTTGGAGATGCACATGCATCTAAACAGTCTTTCAGCAAAGAGAATAGAGATGTAAGATCAACTTTTACCCAAATGCACATTTTCAAGAGTAAATAGTGCAGTGAGGCATTTGTTGTATCATTTATCCTTGTTGTATCTCAGTAAGTCCAGCTTGTGGAAACCAAGAGTGTATATCAGCGTGCAGATCTCCTTCTTCATTATGTGAAGGACTTACTGTAATAATATCAGATTTTATTTGATGGAATGCCTGCTGTAGGAAACCACTGGCAAGATATGCAAGAGGATGTCATTGAGTAGAGGCAAGATATACTGTTAGACTGCACAAATGTACCATGTATTTATGCTGCCTCTGGTACGTGCAGCAATTCTGCTATGCCTGCTTCTCTCCATTAGCTCCACTGCCTACCTACCGTATATTAAATGCTCTGAATATGACCAGAATGGCTTGGACTTCTAAACAGATAACAGTCTGAACTTCTTGCTTAGAAAGATTCAAGTCTTAAGAGGAGAGAACTAGAAAAGATGGATTCAGTTGGCTTTAAGGGAATTGAAATCTTCCCATGGAGAAAAAGGGTCAGACTAAGGATGAAAGTACAGGTCTCAGACTCCTGTTTTCTAGAAATTAAGAAAGATGTTGATTGCTATGGTGTTGGTAGCTGTGTGCTTTTCTCTGGTGAAAATAAAATATAAAAAAGTTCAGTGGTGTTTTCAAAGCTGCAAGTAGACTTCTAAGTCAGTTTGAAAATTAAAGTGTTGAGTTATTCTGGGCTGAGACCACCAGGGGCTAGTAGTGCAGATCAGCTAGGATTGAGAGAAAAGTCTGCTGGAGAATTGGCCATCTCACTCAACTCTTCATTTTCAGACCATTATGCCTTTAGGATGACAAATCTGTCAAATTTTCAATCTCCTCCAGTAATAGGGTTTTGGCAGGAGCTGACGGGGGCCAGTGCTGCAATGTACTCATGCACAGTTAGGTAACCAATGCACGCTTCATTCGAGTGAGGCATAGAAAGCTTCTGAAAGTTACTGCATTATAGTCTGGCTGCATGCTGAACTCAGCTGCTGAGAACAAAAGAAGTGTGAAGACTTGTTAATAAAAGTCTGTTCAGATTTCATTACTGTGAGTAGCCAAATCAAGACAATACAGAGCTTGCTGAACGTTGAAGAATTTCAGTCCCCTGGAAATTCTTTTCTGCACTGACTGTTGTTCCCAGCTGAACCTCTACACAATGCAAACAGGTCTCCTCTGCTACCTTTGAAGAATAGGGAATGGAGGTACCTTTCTAGTTGGAGAGAGTATAAGAGAGGAAGAAGAAGGGAAAAGAATGGAGAGGGGTTCTTGTTTCTCCACATCACACACTGGAGAAAAAGCATCCAGCTTAATTTTGATTTTCCTCCTTTTTAACTTTTAAAGCTAGAAGGGGAAACTCCTTTGAATGCAAGAGGAGCATGTATGGCTGGCATTGAGGATGGAAATCTGGCAGACTGTTGTGGCAGAAGTGAGAGCATTTGGAAAGGGTGTAACAAACTGATGGTCTATGAGATAAGTAGTTACAGGTTAAAAAAAATTGCTATATTCCAGTCAGAATTGGTAGATGCTATGTCCTATCAGGCTCTAACATTGCTTACTGTCAAAAGCACCTTGTTGACTTAGGTATGGAGAAGTTACACATCAAGGCTAACTAGAAGAGACTTAGAGGAACTTGCTCATTTCTTCACAATTGCTTTGGCCTCTGAGGAGTGAAGAAAAACTGAGTATTTCTGGAAGAAAGTGGCTAAGGTTGTATCTTCAGCTACGTGACCAGCGCTAGCATTTAAACAGTTTGAAGAATTCACTGATGTTTTTCAGATGGCTAAGAAAGATGCACGCTAACCTATGACAGACTTGGCATGTGATGTAGGCAGGGCCTTTTTTCCCCACAAGACGAAACCTTTCCACTTTCATCATTGTGATCTTCTTTGTTGTGGTCTTTTTAATGTTCTGCAAGCTTTACTTAGGTATTTATTAAAGCTTTTAAACGCTTAGGTCTTGATGACATCAGATGTAGGTCTCCTAACCATCAATGCTGCTCTTCCTCTCTGTATCAGTCATCTGTAAATAACTCCTAATAAATGACACAATATGCTTCCTGGGAAGCTGAGTCAGTTCTGTTCACTATTATTCTGTGATGCTATCAGTGTAATTCCAAGCAATTCACAAAGGTTAGTAAAATCTTTTTATTTTTGACGTGACTTTATTTTTTCAGTTGTCCACTTAAAATTTGATATGTATTAAGAAATATATGATTAATGACCAGAGCTGATAGAGAAATGATTCAGGCAACACGTTTTAAATAACACATGCCATACAAATTTTACATTATTACTGAGTGATAATGTAATATAGTTAACAAATACCTTTCTCTCTAGTTGAACTCCATTGTCATCAAGTAGAACATAGTCATTTGCACCTTGTATTATGTCATGGCTTTAGGTGTTATGTTTGCATGCAATACTTAGCAACATAAGAAGATCCAGAAAGGTGGTGTTTCATTTATGTCATCACTATAATTTTTGCTGAAGAGTTGCTTAACAAATCATTTTGCTTATATGAATTGTTGAGTGTTGTAGTCATTGGATAAAATATCTATTTAATAATAGATTTCAACTGAAAGAGAATTTTAATACTAACACTGTGCCCTTTTAAATAATGTATTGCACCTGGATTTTAAAAAGAGATCATTTGTTTTTAAAAAAAAGAGAGTCCTGGAAATGGAGGGGGAGGGAGATGTTCCTGATACTGCAAAATTTACTGTCTGAATTCCATTTAACATTGTAAAAGAAAAATGCAGAATGTAAGGCCTGTTCTATGTATGAATATTTATTCGAAGTTTTCTTATGCGTTGCCTTTCTGTAGCTACATGGTGTTCTCCTGCACTATTTCCCAGCACAAGAGGTAATGCCCTGCTCTGAAAAAGTATCCATTAAAATTTTTATCAATTTTGTGTTTTGGTGAGACAGTATGAGGAAATGCCATTGGAAAATTAGATTCCTCTTTGACATCAGGCGCCCAGTCAACAATCCAATCCCATATGTTTCTACTGAGACATTAGGATTTGATATAATTTTGGGCAGAAAACATTTTAAAATGAAACAATTGAATTTTCTAGATGGTCTTGGGGACCACTTAACTTAAGAGAATACACTTCCAAATCAAAACCCTTTCAATCATTCTAAATATTATTTGGATGATATTTGCTTTATGTGTAGTAGCAGTTTGAATTTGTATTGAATGTTTGACTGGCTTGTGCTTGCATAGATGATGTATGAAATTATTATTTCATATTTTTCCAGTGTTTGCATTGCAAGTGACATCTGGCTGACAGGAATTTGGAGAAATGGGATACAAAGTGAATGCTGTAGTTACCACAGCATCGTATTTATCAAAAGGCTTAAGGTTGGTTTGTCTTTGTTTAACATATGAAACTCAGTATAATGAATAAAAAACAACACTTTTTTTTTTTTTTTTTTTTAAACTAAGCTGCTTAAAAAATAAGATGGTTGAAAGAAAAATGTTAATCAAAGTTTCTATTGTAGTAATTAATTAGTGAATAACATAATGCACATTTGCTGAAAGACAGTTCTCAACGTGTATTTATATTTTCTATTATCCCTTTAAATTCTGGTTAATGATATATAATTCATATACATTTTATCATAGAGATAGGTAATTCTGAAATAAGCTTCTACAGCAGACTGGCAGAATTTTCTTTTTATACTGTAGGTCTCTAGCTACTAAAATCTAGAATTGAGCTTAATTCTGGTTGCATTATAACTTTGAAATGTGCCTGTTAAAATGCTGTATTCTGCCATCATCCTACCCTAACACTCCTTCATGAAGCTTCTGGTATTTTACTTGTCTAATAGTAATTTTTTTGTCTTGATAGAATATATTGCAGGTTTTTAAAATGAACCTATTTGATATTTAGTATAAAATATATTATTTTCTTTAGAAATATGATTTCAGCCTTTAAGAAAGGCATTTTCAAAATGCATGCTGTTTGTGAGGAAGCTCTGCCATGTTAAAGAACAATGACAAAAATGATATATTGCAGTGTACAGCATCTTGCCATGCCCTGGCAGAAGGAAGGAATTGCCTATGCCACTCTGACTAGAAGTGTCTCTTGGACAGTATTTGTCACTCACTTAATATCATTCAACTGATTATTGAAACTGAAATCTGTGTGAAGGAAACCCACCACTACAGAAGTCTCCCATTAATTCCCAGCAGTCCTGGAAAAGAATGAACATGGAGGCTGTTATACATACAGATGAGGAATTTAGAGGAGAGAAGCAATTAGAGAAGTTGTGTAGACATAGTGAGGAGGATAAAACAGTCTGAGGAGGGGTGGGACAGGATGGGGATGGAGTTGATTTAAGGGAGAGAAAGAGATGTCAGACAAAGTAATCCAGAAGAAATTGTTTCTGTACTGCTACCAAGTGATTATCTGAATCTATGAAGTTGTCAAGCTGAGAGCACTCGGCATCTTCTGGGACTCAGACCTGTCCTTTTAAATGAATTAAAAATCCAGCTTTGAGATCCAATTCAAGAACAGAAAGAACTACCAATGACTTTTATTTAGGTCTGCAGCAGCTTGGGGGCTGGTTGGAAGGGAGTGGCAGGAAATGAATAAAATGCTTCAAAATTGTTCAAAGACAATAATTCTGTTCCCCTAAGAGCTCCTCAAGTGGAGCCCATCTATTTACTGATGACACAAGGAGTTTGCCTATTCTCCCTTGTTAGATATCTGCAGTATGATTCTCCTCCACTCTGCTTCTCTCTCCCCTTTTCCAAACATCTCCAGTCAATAAAGAGACATCCATTGACATACTTTCCTTTGAAAGCACTCATGAACTTTCATTATTATTATAGGGGGGAAAATGTCAGACAATTGAACAAAACACGGAGATGTTGATCAGATGAGCAGAGTAAATTAGAGCATTCAGAGCAATGTGTATTCTGAGTATACCAGTAACAAGAACAGGACTGATGAGAAAAGCAAGCAGTGATACTGTGGCACAGTCTGCTGCTGTCTCTACACTGTGATATATGAGACAACGATAATTTAGCCCATTTTACTGATGCTCTATAATAATGTATATTATACTTGTTTTTGTCTACTTCACTGTCTATCTTAGCCACACACTCAGATTTTATCAGCTTCTGGTTAAGCTTGCTAGACTTCCTATGTGCCAACATAAACGAAAGAAAGCAAGGAAGTGGTTAAGTCATTCAACATCCCATTTATGTGCCCTCTTCAATTCTCTTCCACAGTCTCAACTACCTTACTTCTAATGTCTGTAGTCCACACATTTCCAACTCTATTGTGACTACCTTAGTTTTCTTCTGCTTGCCAGTCAAGGCAATATTTCCTTGGCTTGCTGGATGATTTTAGATTTTCTATTTTTAGCAGTTGCACTCCAGACAAAGAAAAGATTATGAATTCAATTAAAAAAATAAAATATGATCATGACATTTTGTTACGTTTCAGATCCTAAGACAGAAAGAAAACAGCATAACTGTAGAATGGACAGTTCTGAAACTGAAGATGCACATTCTGCATTCTTTGTGTTGTGATATTTCAGTAAAAAGACTTCTGGGTATAATTTTGGCGGAATATTGTTATTTATTTATTTGTTTGTTTGTTTATTTATTTATTTATTAATAATACTTCTATTACTGCGTTGTTAGAAATCTGCTCCTAAACTTTGATGTGATATTATTCTCTACTGCAGTTATTGTTTCCTAGCTGGATTTAGTCTTTCAGACCTACTTTTTTCAATTTTACTTTTTTGCAGCATTATGATAGCGACTATACTGCTAGTCCAATCAGCCAGCTTCTTCTGTCACCTTCAGTTATGATTTCAGTTTCTTTTTACAAATTGAGTGTGATTGTTTTTGCTTGTTGTAATATTGGAATTTCTATCAATACAATGATTCCTTTTTTTTTTGAGAGCCAAGTGTCTAGGAAATGCTTCATCATTCTTTAAAATTATCTTTGTGTGAAGGGTAGTAAATCTGTGCTTCTCTTTAATAATTTGTATGTGGTCTTTCAACAGAACAAGGATAGGTCAGACTTTCTTTACTGCTCTTTTCAACCATCCTTGGCTTTTGCTGAAAATCAGGTTGGCCCAAGGTCTGATCCTTTGATAATGGTATCTTGGCACTTTCTTCTGTTTGTGTGAAGATAAAAGTGAATGAGAGGTACTCAATATAAACAGCCCTCCTCCCACTCTCCTCCCCCCCAATTCTTCCCAAGTCTAGTATAAACCTACATCTACAAATACCTTCTGGAGTTCTCTACACAATGTTACAGCAAGTAAAGATACTAGTAAGTGAATTTGGAGGCATTTTTAGAAACTGTGTGTATGTAATTAAAGCCAGAGCAAAATTATTATCCTTTATTTTAAGATTAAAATTAGTATTAGCTGTGATGGATTGATGAGCTGTTTGAAACATTTCAGTACAATAGCAGGTATTGAATATCCTTTAAAAATATGGTTAATAGAAAGTAGCAGAAGGGGAAAACACATATGGCCATAAGCACACAGCGATGGCCACAAACCTGAGGTTTCTTCTCCTTCTTCCCTTCCCCCATTTTGTTCCCAGTTCTTCTCTTTAGAAGAGACTGCGGATAAACAGCAATCTTAAGGTATGGTACCATAACAAAAGCACTCCAAAGGGGATGGAATGGGAAAAGGGAAGATCCCATAGGACAGCTCACGCAACACTGATACTCACAGTTTGTAGTTCACACTGTGTTCTCACATTCAGAAAAAAAGTATAATTGAGACCAATTCTCTAACTGACAAGAGTCCATTTAAAGCTGAATTACAACTGACAATAAAACATTTTAAAGAAATCTCATCCTTCCTTTGTTATTAACTTTGTTTTCTCTGTTATGCCAACGGCAGCACAGAAACATAGAAAGAGAAAAGGAAAAATGATTCTCAGCTGCATTGGAAAAATAAACATGTTGCACAACATTCTGCTAAACAAGGACCCCAAATTACAGACACTAGGAGAAATTTGAGACATAATAGTTAGGTATTTTTCTCTCCATTCCATTTGTTTTCAGTCACCTCCCCCGTATTTTATTTTATTTTTTTCTGCAAGCTCTCTCATATCTAGCCTGGCTCTGGGCCATTATGAAGCTTTGTCATGGCTCTCATTTTCCTTCTTTACCTTAACTTCTCAGAGTTTCAGGGTAGCTTAGAGGAGAATTTTGCCTGCTTGAAACGTTCACATGAATGGCAGTACACCAGTGTATAGGAAGGTGCTTCTAATTATAGATTAGATGAGTTTCAAGTCTTGTCTCTGACAGTTGTAGTCTGCATATAAACAGGGGCAAGACTTCAGAAAACCACTTACAGCTCTCTGGTATGGCCAAATCTCACGGACCACGTGCAGATATTTTTGGTGGCTAGTTTTGGCCTGAGTTGGTTAACATTTTGATACAATCTTTTCATTTTCTCTCCTCCAGATTTCTTTTTTCAATATCAGTTTAATAAAGTTGCAGTTCTGAGTTCTTAACAACAAATAAGTCTGTTTTTTATAGTAGTACAGAAGTATAGAAGTACATCAAATTGTACTTCACAGACTGGCCATAGTAAACCCAACCTGCTGACTCTTCAAACAATCGTGGCATTCAAATCAGAAAATCATGCCATCTGGATAACTTCTATAGTGATGCTAATAGCTGTAAATTCCACTCTCACCTCTAGGGATGGAGAATGTCCTAAATGCGTGACCTTCCTGAGACATATGTAGGTATCTAGTCCTTGTGTGTGGACTGATCCTTTTTCAGTCTCATGTACAGATATAACATGTTTCAAAGTTTGTCAATCCTAGACCATAGCCATAAATGTTTTGAAGTCTAGAACGCTTTGGAAGCACTGTTTTACCAGCAAAGTAAATACCCTGAAATCTTAGAAACAGCAATTCCATTTCATGGATAAAATAAAATAGTACTTAGATTATTATATCATAACCATACCCATGTGATTGAAGATGGTGAGGTTCACATAAAAATGTCTGTCTGCTTTCCTTCTGATAAGCAACTCCCTCTTTCTACCAGCAATCATTTCAGCATAATATATTTTCAATGTAATCTTTCCTTGATCAACAGACTACACTGTTCTATCATTTTGCAGGTTTTCTTTCCTTCATGGGTGAATACTTCCACCAAATTGCATTTAGTATCTATTAACTTGGATTTGTAAAGGATCAAATGGCTTCTGTATCTCATTACATTGTTCTTTGTAATTTGTAATTTCTTCCAATTTGATACTATTGCATAGTTAAACTTTATTTCTGTTCCATCATCCTATCTTAAACACAAGATTCTGAAGTATTGGTCTTATGAAATCATGAACATCCTGGGAGTGTCTGTTATG